GAAGAGCGTTGGGAAACATCAGCTGGGGCCCCTCTCCACAGCCCCCCTGCCCCGGCCCACCAAACATCGGTCACTCTGCCTGCCACTGGCCTGGCTCCAAGCCTTGACACACAGAGGGGAGGCCGTGGGGGACATGATGCTATCAGAGACCAGTTTTCCAGGGCCAGGAGTGGAGCCTGGTCCCAGCACGCAGTCCTCACATATGGAGCCCCTGAACCCCCTCACCCATGCCCCTGGGGGAAGACCCCAGCCTTGGAAAACTGCCAGGGCTTCTCCGAAGGGGCCGGGACCAGACAAGCAACACTGCAGCAGTGCCCTTGCTGGGCCTCCCAAGCCCTGGAGCTAGGATCAGCCTCACACGCCACCTCTGCTCTGCCCACACTGTTGTTACCCTAAACCCCTGTCTGTCTCATGTGCACACCTGCTACCTGGTCTGTACAAGGGCCCTGAGGCTGCTTCCTTACTGGAGCCCAAACCCACATGACCCCCACATGCCAGCACGCACACACGTGCGCCTTCTCCACACTCTCGCCACTGGTCACAAAGTCTCCGGGAGGGGTCAGCGCCAAGGGCCACCCAGTTCCCACCCACCTCCTACTCACCGTCCAACGTCCGAGCAGATCTTAGAGTCCGCAGCAACCGCAGCATGGGCAAAGGCCTGGGGGCCACAGTGGACAGGGTGCCAAGAGACGACCACGATAGGCACGATGATGGCCAGCGCCAGCCCCAGCCCCAGCAGGACCATGCTGACCATGGCCCCGTGGCCCTGGGCCATGGCTCTGTGGCCCAGGGGGAGAGAGGAGGTAAGTGGGCACACACACCAGTGGGCGGAGAGATACAGAGAGACAGGTGGATGAATGGACAAAAAGATGAGCAGATGGACTCACAGATGATGGGACAGATGGACAAATAGACCGGAGCCAGAGACAAACAAATGGATTGACAGCCAGATGGCTGGACAGAGAAGGAAGGTCAGATTGACAAGTGGACAGAGTCAGGATTATAGATGGATAGATTGGTTTCCAAGCGAACAGCGGGCAGCCAGGCGGACAGGTGGGAATGTGGACGGGCAGCTGGCAGCAGGGCTTCTGCCTTCCTCCAGCGCCCACCTCAGAGGCAGAGCTGGCCACCCGCCTGGACTTCCAGTTTTCAGCCCCTGTCTTGGCCCTGGCAAGACGCCAGGCAGCAGGGCGTCTATGGGGAGTTTTTCCTGCCAGAGAGGGAGGAGTCAGCGGCTGCCGTTAACTCCCTCACTGCTGTTCCCACTGCTTGTCCCCTGAAAGCCTTGGTACAATCACCCCTCCCACTGGCTGCCAATGCTCAGGGCTATCCTGTGTGTGTGAGGACTTGGTGGCTGCTTGGCTTCCCAGTGGAAGCTGGGGTGCAGGGCTCCCAGGACCCCATGGCTGCTCCCCGGTTCCCAGCAAAGCCAGGACAGCAGAGTGCAGGCCTGCCCAGGACCCTCCCCTGCATCAGGCTCAGTGGGGCAGGGGGCCAGGGCAGAACCCCAACTCACCTCCTCTTCGTGGGGCCCCGCCCAGCCGCAGCTCACCGCAGCATCCTCAGAGCCAGAGGACACTGGGGCTAAACGGGACCAGAGGCAGACACAGGGGGACCCAAGGCAATGTCAGTCAGGACCCGAGTTCAAGTCCCAGCTCAGCTGAAGCCAGGGCAGGGGGGTGGCCAGGGGTGACCAAGAGGGGGCTTGGCTTCCCTGTCTACTCAGAGGAGGCGACTGGAACACCAAATGCCCAGGACAAGACTTCTGTGTGGGGAATGAAGACAGGGCCTGCGTCCAGCCCTTGGCACACAGTGCCCACCGGACTGTCCACCCCTGGGGCCCGCTGTCCCGGAAATGCCACTGGGCCTCAGGGAGTGGGCCTCCCTTCCACCTGCATCTCTGCCCATCCTTGGTGGAGTGTCTGCTTCCCTCTTCCTGAGCTGACAGCACCTCCTCTCCTGGGGGCACCGGCCTGCACCCTGCCCTGCCCAAGCCTCAGGGTGCTCAGCTTGGAGGTGGGTGGGAGAGTGGGGGCTCCCCGAGGTGCCCCCTTTGATGAGACTCAGCAAGGCCCAGGGTGCAGGGGCTGGACTCCCACCCCGAGCCCCCACATTCTCCCAGCTTCCTTTCCAGCTGAGCTTTGCCCTCCCCAGGTCTCTTTACCCCTTCTGGCACAACAGAGAAACTGAGGCACGTGCCAGCACAGCCACAGAGCCTGCCAGGCCCCCCTGTCCGAAGCCCCTGCCAGCCTGAGCTGGAGGGGCTACTGGGGCACCCTTGGGGGGTGGGGAGGGCTGCGGTCACCTTCTACCACCCCCACCGGATCCCCAAACCACAGTGACATTGCTCAACCAGGAACCAGAGTGCATTCCTGGGCCAGGGCCAGCCCGGGAGGCGGAGGAAGCAGGGACAGAGAGGTCGGCGGGGTCAGGGTGGAACAATGTCCCCTCTCCCCAGCCTTCCTGGTCAGGCAGAGGCCAGGGTGCAGGGACTGCTAGAGCGAAGGCCCAGGGAAGGAACAGGCATTGTGCTGGGCTGGCCAGAAGTGCGATCAGGGAGGCACAGCCAGGAAGGGCCCTGGACATCCGTGTCCAGGAGATGAGGGGCGGGAAAGAGAGGGGAAGCCAAGTCTCCAGGCCCCAGGGGGGAGTTGAACCCCATAACGGCTGGGGAACTGGGGTGCACCCTGTCTACGTGCTGGGGCCCAGGGAGTTCCAGGCCAGCCCCCACCTCCGCTGGAGCAAGGCCCGCCCCTCAGGCTTCAGTCTTCTCCCCTGCAAATTGGCCACAGCCTTTCCTCTGGGGCTAAAATGAGGGCTGAGGAGAGACCTTCCCACCCCACCAGCTCAGCCTCCATCTTGTCCCCCCCATCCCCCAGGGACCCCAAAGATGCCACCCTCCAGGGCTCAAGGCTCAGACATGGGGCCACTCTGCAGACCAACACCCTGTTTCCCTGTGGGCACTTTGGAAGCATCAGGATTTTCTGCCTCATGAAGGAGAGCCCAAACCTGGGCTCTCCTAGCCCTGTGCCCCTGCCCTCAGGGGCCCCCACTGGTGCTCACTAGGCAGGGGGATGTCTTGCTGTCGTGCTGGGACCCCCTCACCCCTGCCCACCTCCCCAGGTCTTTCCCAGCACCTTACCTTGGGCGTTACAACTGTCTATAAAGGATGAGTTAGGAGGCCCTGAGGGAGGGAGGGGCTGGCCCTGGTGGGGGAGGCTGGATGCTGCGTCTTGTGGTTCTCCCCCACCCAGAGCCACCCTCCCTGGGGTGCTGGCCCAAGCCCTGACCCCTGGGGATTTGGCGACCTCTTCCAGTTCATGGATCCCTGAGAACTGGGCCTCCTTCTGGAATGGATCACAGCTTGGGTTTCACTCTGGGTTTCTGCTTGGAAAGCCCCCTGGGCCTGGCCCTGACCAACATGTTTTGCTCCAGCCTCTTGCCCAATCCCACCCCCACCCAGACCTCAGCTTCACCTCAGTGTGTGCTGCTTATGGTGAGGCTGGAAACCCGCCCGGCTGAAGAGGTACCAGGGCTCCCAGGAGGAAACGCCGGGGCCATGCGCCCCCTGGTGGCTCACACTGGGAAGCGCTGCTGCCCAGCCCAGGGAAGAAGCGGCCTGGCTCTCGTCGTGGGGCTCAGGGTGAGGAAGAACAGTGCCTGGCATGGCCCACCCTGGGCCCCCACCCCAGCCCTGCACGCCCAGCTCCTGCCCCGTTCCAGTGAAAATGCTGAGGCTGGCTCCAGTACTTGAGCTGTCCAGACCTCTGAATCCCTTCTCTCCATCCTTCCCTGCCAGGTGGCCCCACTTCACACAGGATGCTGAGGCCCAGGGAATTGGGAGCCGGCCGGCAAGACCACCCAGAGCCTGGCACTACAGCCCCCATTTATTGCACTGCTTTGCCGCTCACAGGGGAAGCATGTCCCCCAAAGTCCCACTCCCAGCCCCCCACCCCCAGCGGACATCTCATCCCTGGGCTGCTGGTCCACCTTGCCTGCCTGAGCGCTCAGTAGCCCGCAGGCTCCCCGCCTTTCCTGGAGTCTGAGGCAGCCGCCCAGCCGCCAGCTGTGCGGACAATGGCCTGTACCACAGCAATGAAGGTAGGAGTGACCTCGGTGTGGTGGTGCCGGGTCTTCAGGGCTGCAGCCACTGCCTGGGGGTGGGAGGGAGAGGGAGGCCTCAACGGGGGCCCAAGACACCATGTGAACCACACCTGTGTGGGCATGGCTTCCACAGACACAGGTGGTGCCATTTCTGTCTGAGTGGCCACGAAGAGCAAGTTGGGGGCAGCTGGGCCGACTGGGTCTCATCGGAGCAGGTGGCCTGGCCCTCAGAGCATGGGGTGCAAAGTGGCCCAGGCAGCGGGCATGAGGGTCATCTGCCCCAGGCAGAGGACAGCAGCCATCGTCCAATGCGCAATGACACAGGAGATCCAGGCCCTGTTCCAGGATCCCCAGGGGCCCCCACTGTGACTCAGCACCACCCCCCAACCTGGTCAATGTCTTTCTCCAGCGTTGTGGTGTTGGGCAAAAGCTGGTTGTGCAGCCGGGGCTCCTCCACCGCCTGCTTCACATCGTAGCCGAACCACAGGCTGTGGATGATGGCCTGCAGATGAGGGGATAGGGTCAGTGTAGCCCAGCGGGCAAGGGGCTGGGGGCACAGGCAGGTGGCACATACCAGTGCAGTGGACGTGGTGATCTGCGTGCCCCCAGAGGCACCCACGACCATGCGGACCTGGCCGTCCTGACCCACGATGATCGCCGGGCACATGGACGAGAGCGGCTGTTTTCCTACAGCCGGCCGGTGGGAGGGAGGGGACAGAGGAGCTGGTCAGCTGCCTGCTGGGACACCAGCCCCCTCCCCACCCAAGCCCTGTGCCCACACCTGGCATGATGAAGTTGGCCGGTGAGGGGGGCACCCCAAACTGGTTGATGATGTTGGGGGAGCTGAAGTCACCCATCTCATCGTTGAACAGGATCCCATTGGCCTGTGACAGCACCTTGGAACCGAAGCTGCAGACCAGCTGGGTCAGAGAGCTGTGACCACCCCTGCCCCGTCCCACCAGCCCCACGTGCCCACCAAAGTGCCAACACGCTCCCTGGGGAGGTGGGGGCAAGCACTCTACCAATGTGGAGCCCCCCTTCTAGGACACGCAGGCAGCCCCGGCCCACCCGGCCACCCAGCAGCCCTACTAGAGGTTGATGGTGCTGGTGGCCGACACGGCACTGCCATCCTCTGAGACCACGGACAGGTGGGCGGTGCCCCCGTCATCCGGCGTGTAGAACTCAGGCTCATAGTAAGAGGCCGGGTGAGTGGTGTCATCAGAGATCCGGGCCCGGAGCTGGGCAGCGAAGAACTCGGAGCTCATGTTGCGGACCACCTGCCGAGACCCCAGAGCTGGCCTGAGGAGGTGAGGGAGGTGGGGAGGGGGATGGGCTTGTGCGAGCAGCTCTCAGGAAGCCCCCAGCCATGGCTCTGACCATAACCCTCTTGCACCCAAAGTCTCACGTGGCCCGTCTGACCCCCTCTCCCCAGCCTCTGTCTCTGTTGCTGTCCAGCAACTCTGAATGTCTGTCCGTCCTCAGAGTCCCAATCATTGCATCCAATCATTCATTCATTCATTCAGGGAGCTTGTAACTTCATGCCCAGCACTGGGGGATCAGCAGGGAAGAGACACGCAGGTCCCCACCCTCACAGCAGGGAAGACAAAGGCAGGCAGGGATGTGCTGGAAAGAACAAGCCAGGTGAGGGGGGTGGAGTGTGATGGGGTGAGAGCAGAGTGGTCAGGGAGGGCTTCTCAGAGAAGGTAATATCTGAAAAAGCCACCTGAATGGTAATGCAAAGGCCCTGAGCCAGGCCTGTGAGTGACACGCAGACAGTGAATGGGGTTAGGGAGAGAAGAGGTTGAAGATGCCAGCAGGGGCTGATCCCATAGGTCCTTACAAGCCCTATAAGGACTTCAAAGCCACCTGTGCTTAGGGCAGAGGAGTGAGCAGCTGGTGGGTGTTATCCCTCCGGCAGCTGTGTGGGGGTGAAACTCAACTGGGAGGCTATGATATCCACCAAGTGAGAGATGCTGGGGGCTCACCAGGTGGAAAAGAGGAACGGAGAAAGGCCCCAAGTCTTCAGTCTATAGTGGCCGCTAACTGGGGCAGGTTGGGAGTCTGATTTGGGAAAGGAGCTCGTCAGACCCTGAAGAATCTGTCTCAGGTGGGTGATGGGCCACACCTGATGTGTTGAGTTCATGGGCAAGGCAGGGCGCAGGAGGCTGAGCAGAGGAAATGCCTCCAGAAGGTTCCAGCAACACCCATGAATTAAGTGACTAATCCAAGGGGAAAACGTTCAGCCTGAATCTACTTCCGAGGAAACAGGGTTGAATCCAGGAATTGGGACATCCTAAAAGACAACTGCCCTGGGCCTTAAAATCAACAAAACAGCCCAGGGGGTCCATTGAGGCTAAGAGACGGCAGACGTGACAGCAACAGCAGGTGTGAGCTTGACAGGCCGGGGGCCTCAAGACACGGATGGGACCCTTGGGGAAAGGCCGACCAGACATCTAAAAAGGAAAAAACAGGGAGAGCAAGGGGGAGACGGATGGAGATGGGGAGAGAGGAAGGAAATGTGCCGAAACGTCCATAACCTTGCAAATTAAAAAGTCAAGGGAGGGAGGTGCTGGTGAACGTGGTGAGATGCTGCAGAGAGTGGACCGAAGGGGGAATGGAGGCTGCTCTCAGGACCTGGCAGCGCAGGTATGGAGGGAGGGAGGAAGGGCGGGCACCAGGGGAGAGGGCTCCAGAGAGGAGGTGGTGGCCAAGTTTGCCCCAATGGGGAGCAGAGGGACGGGGCAGCAGCTGGAGGGCTCTGGACCCACAACCATACACTTCTTTTGGAAATGACCCATCAGAAAGGGCAGACTGGGAACCCAGGAGGGAGAGCAGCAGTGTAGGAAGGGCGTGCAGAGTCAGAGAGTGGATGAGCAGAAGGCCAGTCTCAGCTGGGAGGGAGGGCAAAGAGGGGCATGATGCAGTGGCTTCCACCACCTCAGGGATGCCAGATGCTGATGTGGGGAGCAGTGAGTGCAAAATCATCCCCAGGTATGAGAAGAGGGGCTGCTGAGCAGTTGTGGGAGGTCACAGGTCAGTGTGAGGGGGTCTGCGGGTCTACCTTGCAGGGAGGGGGGGACCCAAGTAGGTAATGAGGGATGTGTTCGGGGTGGAGGTGGAAGTCCAGCCTGGAGCCGGGGCACCTGGCGAGTGGGTGGGTCGGGCAGTGCAGGGCCTGGGTGGGGATCTGGGAAGTTAGCTCCTGGGTGTGACCAGGGAACATGTGGCTGGGGCCTCTGCCCACCTGGAACACTGGTTCCCTCCCCCCTGAGGGCTGTGATGCCCCTGTGCATTCCTCACCTCGGCACTGACCACTCCAGAGCCTTCCAGGCCAAGGACATAGCACATGCAAAGGCCCTGAGGTTGGAATGTGGCAGAGGAGGGCACTATCACTCACTGACAAGTCTGTCTCTCCCACCCTGTGAGCTCTGTGGGGCAGAGGCTAGGACTCAGGGTCAACAGTCCATCCTAGCACACAGTAGGCCCGAGGGCAAGTCAGTGGCAGAAATAGATGAATAAAGGCTGAGTGAGGCTGGGGTGGCCCGGGAAGCCCTCCTGGCATCTCCATGGTAGGCCCCCCACCCATCGAAGGCCAGCCCCTGCCCTTTACCTCAGTCACATTGACAAACTTGGGGTCCCCAAGCAGGGTCCTCTTGGCGTAGGCAAACCGGAAGGCCTCCACTATGCGGTGGTAGGTCAGGCCCTTCTGCTCAGGTGTCTCCACGCTCTCCCGGGAGAAGCTGTACCCTGGTTGGGCAGAGCCGGGCAGGTTGGTGGTCCCGGTGGCCCCGGGACATCCCAGCTCGGCCAGGACAGCTGAGTGCCCTGGAGAGGGGGTGGTCCACGCCTCCCTGACCCACCTGGTTCACCTTGAGAAGGGAGACGTTTAATAACCAACAGCAGTGGCTGCCTGGGAGGCGGGAGAGGATGGAAGGAAGCAAGGGTCCCCCAGGTCTGGGCCTCACATGTCAGCCACAGGGCTACCCAGTCCACGGGGTCACAGATGACCACTCAGATTTGCCAGATGTGCCCTTTGGACCAGGCCGCCCAGCATGAACTCTGGCACTGAGAGCCACCCCGTGACCCCGAGACCTCACACGGCTGTGCCCACTCCCAGGACGCTGCTCTGCAGGGCCGTGGAGGGCAGCTGACCTTTGAGGATGTTGAGGATGAGGGCCAGCACTGGCCCGCTGAGCGGGGCACTGGGCACATAGAGCTGGGCATCCCCGAGGCTGATGCTGAATGGGTGCTCGATCAGCCCTGCGCGGTAGTTGTTTAGGTCCTCGGCCGTCACGATGCCCCCTGCATGGGGTGACACAGAGATGGGGCACACTTCTGGGGGGCCAACAAGCGGGGAGCCCTGTCTATCCCCGGACCTCCCTGACGGTGCCACCTTCCCCTGGCCAGGTCCAGGCCAGCGCCCTCCACCTGCTGCCCCACTGGCCTCTGGGTCTGTCGTCTGTCCTCTTGGCGGCCAGAGGATCTTCTCTAAGTGGGAGATATCTGCTCCCATCCACCACTTCCCCTACCTCCTCCGCCCCCCCCCCAGTCCCCTCCTCCTATGACTAATGGATGGGGGGAGGGAAGCTCTTAATTCTCTAGGGAAATGGCTCCAGAAATACCAAGTATTTACAGGCTATTTTCCGATGTCAGTGGTAAAGGTCAACACGCTAATCACCCTCCTCCCTGACACACTGGAAAAACTAACGTGAAGAGGCCATGGCCGGGTGAGGGAGAGGCAGCATGGGGCTCCTGAACCTACAAGAACCTGCCCACAAGTTCCCAACCGCAGGCGCTGCATGCAGCTCCTCCCATGCTTCGCTCACCAAGCCCACCCTCATCCCCTGTGATCCTCCTGGAGAAATAAAAGCCTTCTCTCCAGGCCTCAAACTGTTCTCTCTGCTTACAAAGTCCAACCTCACCTGTGGCTCAGGCACCACCTCCTCCAGGAAGTCCTTCAGGGTCTGTACTTTAGCGCTTCTCCAACCCTGGCTCCTGCCTACACCTGCATTCCCCCCACCAGGGTTTTCTCTCCTGGACTGCAGGGTTTCTCTCAGCTTTGACTTAACCAGGAGCTGTGGATCTGTGTGGCCTGTCATTAACTGCAGACACATCTGTGACCCTCCCCTGCCAGACACTCCCTGAGGGCCCAGTGTCCAGGCCAGGTAGGACCCAAGGACCCCAGGCTCAGTGTTCCCGCTGTGGAGTTCCTGGGCCCAGGCCCCTGAGATCGCCCGCTCACCGGCCTCCTGGATGTCCTTGACAATCTGGGCCGTGAGGCTCCCGTTGTAGAAAGCCTGAGCGCCCTCCAAGGCCAGCGTCTCGTAGGTGTCGGCCAGCCGAGGCATGGTCACTCGGTCCCCCTCCCGCAGCACCTTCCCATCCCGGCAGAACACCTCGCTGGGGCAGAGGGGGCTCCCGTGAGGCAGGCAGGTGGGGCGGACTCAGCCACCCCACTCACACACACACATGAGAACAAAGGATGGGGTGCCCCTGTCCACAGAATCCAGCCCAGGTGGGGCCGGGACCCCACCCCCAGGCTCAGAACAGGCAGGGCTTTGGTCCCTCGTTCAGCGCAAGTTCCTGAAAGTGCCACCCACTCTCGCCCACCAGTAGGGACCACAGACGTACCACAGCTCGGGGTGCCGCTGGATAGCAGCCTGGTTTCTCTGCAGGGCTCCCGCCAAGCTCTTCCCCACAGGGAAGCCCTGGCGGGCCAGCTGGATGCTGGGCTGGAAGAGGCGAGCCCAGGGCAGCCGCCCGTGCCGCTGGTGTGCCAGCTCATAGCCGCGGATCTCGCCTGGAACCGCCACCGACAGCCCGCCTGCGAAGGAGAGGGACACAGCTAGTGGCTCCACACGGGGGACGTTCCAGGCACATCCCCCAGGTGGGATCAGTGAGGCCCAGGAAGGACATAGATTTCTGAGGTCACGTCTGGACTCAGCAGGCATGAGTGTGGCTCAGCTCGGCTGTCTGATGAGGGCACAGGAGGGAGGGGCGGTAGCACGTGTGTTGGGTTCCGCTGTCCCAGGCCTGGATGCCTGTCTCCGCAGGTGCCACCGTGTCTGAAATCCTGTGCCAGGCCCACGGTTGCACAGCGAGAGTATAAGGAAGCCAGACCTCACCATCTCTCAGTTTGAGCCTCCTGGGCCACGAGGCCCCTCATCCCATAAGACTCAAGTGTTCCTCCAAAACCTGCCAAAGGCCCCAGTGCAAGCCCAGGCCACTCTCAAGGCTGGGCTGGTCCCAAAGCAAGGGCCTCTCTTCCTCTCTTCCATTGTCCCAACTGGGACCTGAGCCCAAACCCCTGCCCTGTCCCCTCTCTGGGTCTCGGTTTCCCCATCTGACCATAAAGAGTTTTGTTTCCCAGCACTGTCCTTTGAGGAGCCATGATTCCCCTGGAAACAGAGCCCTGGACCCTGGTTCCCCACTAGGCCTCACTGCCCCTGCTGCACCCTAAAGCCAGCACTGACCCAGAAAGTTTCAGCCACAGCCTCGGCTCCCAGGCACCCTCCTGCTTTCAACCCTGAGATGCAGGGTAGCGGGGCACTCCCAGGTTTGGCGGCTGCAGCTCTCGAGCTGCCTCTCCCACCCTGAAGTGGGGCATGAGGTTCCAAGAGCCAGGTTGTTACGACATTGGCACATCCCGGAAGGTTTGACACCCAGCACACAATTCCTCCCCCTTAAATAAGCGCTGCCCTGACCTTGGTCAATCAGGCTCTCATGCCACACTCTCACCAAGGTCACCAGTGACCCCCACGCTGCCATTGCAGGGTCTCTTTCTCATCTTACCTGGCCCATCACTCTCTCTTCCTGCGTCACTTCTGCATCTCCCTGCCCTCTCCTCTGTCTGCACCGGCTCTTGGTGCCCTCCTCCATGTCAGGCTGCAGGGTCCATTACACGCTGACAACTCCCAAACTGACTCTTCAGCCTGCTCCCCTGATGGCCAGATCTGAGGATGCACCTGCCCACTTGAAAAAGGCTTCTCAAACTTAACACCTTGCCAGTCTCTGTAAGGGTCGCCCTGTCCTTCCAGGTGCAGACCTGAGACCCCAACTCACCCGAGACTCCTGGGTTATCACTGTGACATCCTGATGGGCCACCTGACGGGCAGGTAACTTGCTCCTCCTCTTTCACAGCAGCCTGAGGGGTTCCCATCAGAAAGCGGCCAGATCCACCCAGGTCTCCCTTTCGACTCAGGGAACACCTTTACCTCACTCAGACATGATGACCCATGAGGTCCAACATGACCTGGGCGGCTCTACCTGACCCTGTGTCCTCCTCTTTCCCCCAGACACCCCCACGGCTGCCCCCAGCCCCAGCCTCTGGGTCTTTGCTCACATGCCCTGACCAGGGCACCTGATGAACCCACAAGCCCTCCAACCCTTCCCACCTCTGCTTCCCAGGCAGTGCTGTGGCACATGGCACACCCATGTGGGCTATCTCTCCCTGTTCCACCTGGAATGTGCATTTCACCTGTTACCTTTGTTTCTACTGGCTTAGGGAACAGCCCCTGACGCTGTAGGAGGTGCCCAACAAGCCCTAGTTAAATATGTGAATTCCAAGCATCCAAAGATGCTAAGTCTGTAAGATTCCCACAATCTCACACTCCGAATAATTTCATTTTTACACTGAGTTTCCCAATGGGTAAAAATTCAAAGACTGTGTTGGAGGGGATTCCAAAATGGCTGCTCTCAGCACCCTACACAGGGTTCCCCCTGCAGGAGGGGTCCTGCAGAGCCTGCAGGAGGGGTTCAGACCCACTATGGCCTTTAATCCCCACCCCTCCTTCCCTCCAACCTCATCCTGCAATCCACTGGGGTCCTTGCAGGGGCGCCCCCTGGTGACCATTGATTTCCCTTGGCTGCCTAGGGAGTTGCAGGGATTTCCTTCCTGGCTTAAGGACAGGTTAGAAAAAAGAGACTCCTTCCCATACTCTAGAGAGCTATCCCCACAGATGAACAAATGAACAAACGAATGAATGACTTGGATGCCCTTTAAAAACCCAGGGTTTAGATAGCCTGGGTTCAATCCCAGCTTTACCACCATCCAGCTGTGTGACCTTAATCAGTTTACATGACCTCTCTGGGCCTCAGCATCCCCACCTGTAAAATGGGAATCAACACCACGCTCCCCCTGCCAAGCGTACAGGGAGGATTCAAGGGGCTCATCGGTGAAAAGGGCTGAGCAGAGTGCTGGCCCCAGGACCCCGGCACATGCAAGCTGTTGTAATAGTAATCACTCTTT